TAACGATGATTTGTTCCTCTACACCAGCGAGATTTTCCTCATTCCAAGTTTGGGAACTCTAGTGGTACCTTTATCAAGAAAATTGCAACAGTGGTAAACTTTAGGTACCATAAACGGTAAAAAAAGTGAAAATTGTGATCAAAAAGAATGCCTTGCACAAGTCCAGCACCTTGCCTTTAAAAATAACCAGCTGTAGTTTAAACTTGTTACACTGAAAGGGAAACATTTTTCTCAAAGGCAAGCTCCTTCAGGAGCTCTATCCAGGCTACCTATCAGGATAGCAAATGGTCAGGATGGGTTGATGCCAGGTAGCCTGTTAGTACAACACAGTTTTGGGGAAAAAAAAAAACAAAAAACAACCAAAATAAAGCAGTTTTTCAGCAGAGATAACTTTAAAAATAATAAAGCCTCATAATATAATTTATTTTCTATCTTAAAGGAAAGCTTCATATTCGTAAGTCTTCCCTAATGTATATCTCAGTGTGTACAGACATCTGAAGATAAGATATGTAACCTCACAGAACAGAGAGGTTTTCTACCTTGCTTAAAATAAGAAATGTAGTAACTGTGTAGTAGCAGTGCTTCAATGAAGAAAATGCAAGTCTCTCAAGAAAAACATCTTCAGGGAAGCTGAAGTCAAGACTAGGGAAAGCCAATTTTAACTGAAAAACAGTTATCAAACAGGTGCACTTAGCATGTTTTATCTCAATATTATCCTTGAAATAATTTAAAAAACAAAATAATAATAGTATCATGTGCATAGGTATATAGACATGGGATAAATATAGTGACAGAGTGAGTACAACATATAGTCAGAAGATAGACTAGATTACCTGCTCTGAACTGGTGAGGCACAGCCACAAAAAGTGTGGTATAACACAGAAAGCAACTCTATGGGACTTCGGAAGGCTCAGTCTGGAATCCGTGTCCATGTCAGTGTTAATTTTTCAGTGGCAGGAGCAGTTGGATGAGTTGGAGAGCAGGAGAGCAACAAAGAGGAGAAGGAACTGACAGGGGAAGCTTTCTTCACAAAGGCTAGGGAGCCCTGGGCTAAATAAAAGCCCTCTTGAAGTCCTCTTCAGCACTGTCTTTGTTGACAGGTTTTGTATGCAGCTGTGATTCGAGATGGTTGGCTTAGATAGGCAAACCTATTCATGCCCTGTGAATAAAGCTCTATTTAATATATGTTAATTTGGGATTAGAGCAATTTTTTGTTTATAATACATGTGTAATAGCTCCGATCCTTTCTGCAGACACTAATCTGAGAGAGAAAAATTGCTTCTTTTCACTATGTCTGAACCTCAAATTGTACTTGAATGTGCAAGTACCTTAGATAATTTGGGTAGCAGAAGCAGTCTAGCCACACCAACATGAGACAGGGTTGCCCTGGTTTTCTGGAGTTCGCCTATGCACGTGGTTTGCTCTGTTTTCTAATTTTCTTTTTTCCAGTCATGTCCTGTAGGTTATACCTCATAAATTTCAGTCGGAAGGTAGAATGTTCACACAAAGTACATTTTTAAAACAATCCCCGTATTCTTCAGAGAAACTATAATAAATGACAAAATATTCTTGTCCCTCATCTCCAGCATGTTTATTTAAAAGTATTTAGCAGTAAACATAGTTCTAGATGTTGACCTGCCAATATAGTACGACATATTAAAGAAATGGAAGAAGAAATGTTGATAACTGATGTGTTTTATGCCCTCTAAGCTAACAGCTGTTCCACATAATTTGTCTATTAAATTGTGTACTGTTTTATGGAAAGAAAACAGAACTTGATTGATTCCCTTAAGCAAGTAAACACAGCAAGGAAGAAAATCAATTATTAAGAAACTAATTATATTTGGTATTGTCAGGAGGTAAAATGAAGTGTGTATGGAAATACGTGCAGTTGTATGTACTCTGCCAGCAGCAGCAGCTTCTACAGTTCTGATACCCACCAAGGTTCCAAATGTGCCTTGATAGGGTTAGGGACACAGTGAGTCTTGTTATACAAATTTTACCTGTACATTTGTTTCGAAAAGCACCATGCCGCAACATGTCCGTTTGAAGGCAGGTCTATCTTGGACCACTTATTGTTTTGACAAAAAGGACTTGAGACATTACCTGGGGGCTGGAGTGAAACAGGTGAAAACTATCACCCCATCCCAAAAAGCTGATGGCAGCCTGAAAAGAACCGTATCCTGTGCTAACTGCAGCTTGCACAGTCTTGAGCTTCAGATATAGTAAATGAAATTGATGTAAACATTTAGTTTACAGAAATCAAGCAGCTGCGTGATTATAATAAAGATTTGACATAGCAGAAAATTCAGCGATTAAAAATCAGCATCTTACAGTTGTTTGCTAATAACTCTCCAAAAATTTTCAGGTATTTTTCATATCAAAGCTATTCATTAGTTGTAAATAGCATTAACTAACACCTTTTTTGATAGCCTTAAATGGCAGGCTAGGCAGTAAAAAAATAGTCCACTAAAGACACATAAGGTAGCAGGACTATGAGAAGCTACTCTTGGTTCTCCTCTAAGGGGAAAGAAAAACAGATTTACAATTTCAGGTTTTTTCCATAACACATTTCAGTTATGTCAATTCAAATCTAATAAAGACCAGCACGGCAAAAATGGGTACGTTAGCTCTATCAGTACACTGCAAGGTGATTTATAGTTAATATCTAAATATTCCTAAAGTGTGGCAAAAGTGCAGGATAAGTGTTTGTCCATATTTAATACTGAAGATACACAGAGGTTTTTTTGGGGGGTGTTGGTTTTTTGTTGTTTTGTTTTGGTTTTTGTTTTTTTTTTAATAAAACAGATTTAGCTGATAGGGTAAGATTCCCTGTTTCAATAAAGCATTCAGAGAAAGACAGACTTGACTATACATACATAGTTAATCTTACTTTACATCTTTCAACAAGGAGAGTGAGGTAAGTAATGACTACTGTAAGAGCATAAAAGAAAAACTGGAATGTGGACTAACATAAGCTGTTGAAAACATCAGTGTAGAGAAGAAGCATTTTTTTTTTATTTGTATGTGTTCTGTATATTTTACCTCAGTTAAAAAAGAAAGTATTAATGACCATTTTACTTCACTAAAATAACAGTCAATACAACAAAGGCTCATTCATTCCATGTGTTACATTCTCCTTCCAAAACACGTACTTCAAATTTAAATTAATCAGATTTATGCAAGTATTTTTTCATTATCTGCAGAGTATCAAATATTATAAACATACCCAAGAAACCAAGAATTGGGATAAAACTTATAGAAAATCTGGTTTATGAGACAGGAACAGTAAGCCTCTCCACAATGAGTGATATTACTTGGATACAGCACAGCTGTTTACTGCTCAGAAAATAAATGAATGTGCTATTTTCAAATTTAGAACATCCTATTTTCACTGTTTGAGAAATAGCATAAAAGCAGGCTTCCCCACTCCATTCTCAGTAGGCATAGGAAAGGTGAAACAGGAAGGAAAGGAAAAAAACTACAGGGGAAGAAAAGAAAAATAAAAGAAAAAAACCAACAACGTACTAACTGGCTAAACAAAATCTGGTACACACAGAACACAGCATGGTAACTTAGTTTTCTGTCTACCCTCAGATGTCTCTTCTTCTACCCTTATCACCTCCTCTTAGGGTCTGACTCCTGTTGTTTTTACTCAGAAAATACTTCTAAAAGTGTATAATCTGTAAATGTTAAAACACAGGAAAGACACGGCTTCCTATCTGTGACTATTCACAACATTTAGCAGCATCACTTTTATATATTATCATGGCTATTACTGATCCTACTAGCACTAAGGTTTATCTGACTTCCAGTCAGAAAAATAGAAAAACAATTTAAAACACCACAGCGACAAACTCCAAATATGCATACATGTTATTTTTTCCCCTTCTTTCATAGAAACCTCTCTGCTATAGTGTAGTAACAACACATAAATAATAATAAACAACAATAAATTAAAATTTCAAGAAAACAGTTTAAATCCATAGCTTAAAGCTACAATTTGTAGCTGTACGTGAGCACAGAGGTAGGTGTCCTACCAGCTTCCACTAATACATTGCTTCTCAAAATACATCTTGCCTTAAAAAGTTACTAGGGATCACTAGAAACCATTTTTCCTTTTCTAACATTACAATGCAACCTGCATTTTAATACATAGTATTCTCCCCAGCTGAAAGTTTTGAAGTAGCTCTGTTTTCTTTTTGAGACTGAACAATCAATAATTTTGTACGTTGTTTCTGAAGTTAATACTGTGTTAATCTGAAGTTACTCATTAAGAAATAACTCTGTAAGATAAGAGTATAGCCACATGTAAAATGTAATATATGAGCAAACAAATAGTCAGCGCACAATGATAGGTGCTTCAAGCCCTGGAAGCAAACCTAGCAGTGGTTAGATTGCTGCAGGGGAGGACGAAACTGGTCCTCAAGGAATACAGCAAAAATGCCTCAAGGCAAAAAGCAGAGACTGCTTTTAGACTAGCAATCTACAATTCCTCTGAGGAAGAAAAAGATAGATGACCGCTAGCATTAGTATGTTCTCGTATTTACTCAAATGCAGTAACTCTTTCAACTGACGATGCTGAGCTGGAACATAAAAGGAAACTCTTTAAAGCATTTGATAAGTCTTTCCCCCCTCCCCCCAAAAAAGGTTATAACAGGTAGGAACGGGTTGCAGAACCTACTAGGAAACAGGATATTACAGGATATTACAGATATGAACAACCATGCCTTAATAGCATCTCTAATTTTACTGGGAACCCAACTACTAAGAATTGTTTAGGGATGAACGGTCGCTTTGTTTTTAACCTGTCATTTTGTAACACGGCATTTCCAGTTTAGTGATCTGTCAAAATAAAGCTTACACAAACATAAAACTGTTTGAACTCATTTTAATTTTATAACTGATCACAATTGTTTTATATTAACGGTGTTTGTTTTTTGTTTGATGCTTTCTAAAAAAATCAAAATAGGTAACGAATTGTTTGCAGAAGTCCTTACCTCCTCTGTGGACTACGGTTCTGAGAGAACTCTGAATCACTGTCCTTTGATGTTGGAGAGCCCTTATATGTATAAAAAACATCCTCTGTTTCAGTAATATAACTAATCTCATTTGTAAGGTTATCTACAGATGAGTGTCGTGGTTTACGAATTTCATGACGTAGTCTAGGACTCCGCCTTAAAAATAAGGAACACAAACACAAGTTGGAAAATCAGAATAATTCATAAAACTTTATGTAAGTGAAATTTCCATCCTATTGCAATCTATGTCCTGAAATCTTCACAACAGACTTATAGGTCTCACCAAGTAATCAGTTTTTAAACATTTTGTATGGTATACTAGGCATTCATACATTGCTAGGTTCAGTACCCTGAACGGATTTGGAATTTCCCCCCTGTAAAATGCTACCTGTATTGTTAAAGTTCTAATCATAAGGTAATTCAGGTCAGAAGGGTCCTATGGAGGTCATCTAGTCCAATCTCCTGCTCAAAGCATGGTCAACTGAGGCCAAAGCAAGCTGCTTAAGGCTTTATTCAGTCAGATCTCAAAAAACTTAAAGGATGGAGACCACACAGCTTCTCTAAGCAACCACTGCTCAACTGTCCTTGTGATGAAGCAGTTTTTCATTATGTTCAGACAGAGACTCTCTAGTTTCAACACATACCTGTTGCCTCATCCTCCCACCATGCAACACTGAAGAACCTGGCCTCATCCTCTAGTTAGCCTCCTCCTAAGTATTGCCAGGCTGTTACTAGATATCCAGAAACCCCTTTCTTCTCCAGGCTGAACAAGTGCAGCTGTCACAGCCTCTCCTCATAGGGCGAGTACTCCAGCCTCCTGACTACTTTGGTGGCTGGTGGCCTTTGCTGAGCTTGCTCCACTTTGTCAGTGTCTGTCTTGCGTTAGTGGACACAAAAGCAGCTGCAGCATTCTAATAAGGTCTAATGAATGCTGAGCAAGAGGGACATAGTCACTTCCCTTGATCTACCGTCTATACTTCTGTTAATACCACCAGGTTGCTATTAGACTTCTTTGCTGCCAGGGCACACCAGATAGCTCACGTACACCTTGCTGCCTACAAAGATTACCAGGTCCTTTTCCAGGGAGTTGCATCGCAGATAACACTGTTGCACTGGGTTCTTCCTTTCTAGGACTTGGCATTTGTCTTCACTGAATTTCATATAGTTCCTATTGGCCCATTTCTCTAGACTATCAAGGTCCCTTTGGATTGCAGCCCTGTCCCCAAGCTTACTGACTCATCCCCCCAGTTTGGTGTCTTCTTCAAACTTTATGAGCAAGCACTCCATTGCCTCCTCCAGGTCATAAAGATGTTAAGCAGGACAAGTCCCAAGATTGACCTCTGCAATACTCCGCTTGTTACTGGCCTCCAGGTAGAGTAGGACCCATTACCAGCTCCCCTCTTGAGTCCAGTCATCTGACCACTTTTTTTTTTTTTTAAACTATCTTCTTGTCTACCCTTTCAGAACATAATGTTTTAACTTGGGTATAATATTTTGGCAGACAGTATCAAAAGTCTTGCTAAAGTTGAGGTGACACCCACTCTTCTCCTGTCATCACATATATTCTCAGAATAACAACGTTTAAATATATATGTACACACTACATAATTATTCTGCTACAGTACACACAATTAGAAAAGGTAGGAGGCTGAAAGGTATGGGAAAGGTTGAAACTGGATTTACCAATTAGGGGTAACAGGAGGTGATCGAGATGGAAGGCTTTTGGTCTCTAGATGCTCAACAGATAGAGATCGTCTCATAGAGGGGTTCCAAACCATCCCACCTATAACTTTTCTGCAGTACTGGCTGTTTACAGACCTGAAAAGAAAAACACTGTACGTGAATTATTTTGCATAGACAATGTAAAAGAAATAAAATATGCTTAAAGCCAATTTTATAATTCATGTGTTTTAAAGAGTCCCTCCATGCTTACACCTCCTTACATATGCATTTGCATTCTGACAGAGCCATTTTGCTGTCCTTCACTTGTGGCAATAGAACTGCTTGTTAATCCCTGCTACAATGTTAAATCACAAGCCTGGATAAAAATAACTTTTTGTGAGAGTTATTTTTAGCCAATTGTGTTTAAGAAGATGGGAGGGGAAAACAGGAAATTCGGTATGTCCTATGGGCACTGAACTGAGTGCCTGACAAAACATGGTTCAAATACAGGCAAAAGGTTCTAGATGTTCCCTGTTAAAACTCATAAAGGGGTAATAATTCACTAATGGCTTTACTGAGCGCAGGACTACTTTAGCCATCTACCTGCTGCCTCAGCAAGTAAGAGCTACACCAGACCATTCTCTATTTTCAGAAGGAAGCCACATTTGAGTGATGCGTTCCTTACAGGAATAAACCATTAGAGAAAGATCCGACATTAAAAGGGGATCTCCAAGTCTGAACTGCTTCTTGTGACAAGAACCTGACAAGATAAGGATTGCATCAGAATCATAACCTCAGCTAGAAAAGCAATAAAAATATCTTACTAGTGAAATTACACAGTATAAAGAATTTTTTTAAGCAGATCAAAATTGAGATAAGCTAACTTTTATGCAACTTTTTTGCTCATCGTCAAGTTTACAGTCCTAGGATTTCTCATGGCAAAAAAACAATTTATAAGTTACAAAGAAATCAACTTTGGCTCACTAAGTCCTGAGCTGTACATATAGGTGTCTGGGATAGCAGAGTATGTGAGGACTTTACTATAGAGCTAAAATGTCTTACTTTTACATAGGGTAAAAATAAGTTGTTTATGCTGTGGATATTTCTCATGCTAATACCAAACCTTAAGCATGCTTTGCATTGTGCTGTTTTTTGTTTATACAAGCAAAAAAGCAATCCAAAACTTATTTTTAACATTCTAAAGTATTTTACACATCTTGTCCATGATTTTAAAGCAAATTAATTCCTTCATCTTCTAAACGTGTACTTTTAAAGCTCCTCCCAGTTTAAAAAACAAAGATGGAATACTTAGTATGAAGCATCTACATGTAAAAATCAGCTACCCATGTATGTTTTCAGGCTTAGTAAACAGACAGTCCATGAACTCAGGAGAAGCTTTTGCCTGTATTAAGCATTTTACTTTTTTAAGTCGTCTTAATGACAATAACAATTCACCAGCTACTCTGATCTTCTACAAAAACAAAGAGTTCTTTCAAAGAAGCCTTACATGGGTGGAGTAGCTAGGGAGAGTGGATAAAGAAGATGTATTATACAAAAATGCATCTTGAAGAATTCCACAAATTTTGCATTAATCAGTTTTCCTTTTTTATAAGTGCCCGTTCATGCATTTTCCAATGCAGGTGAATTTTGAGGTGCAACGATACTTGTTTGATGAATGCCAGAGCCCTAACCCCAAACCCCAATCACAGAATCGCTTTAACGATATGTTCTCTAGATATTTCGGTTAAGGCCTGCCCTTCGAATAAGGCTTACAGGTGATTTATACAACTCAGCAGCCTAATTTAAATGGAATTCCACTAGTACCTTAAGCTAGGAGAATCTAGAAGGGCACAGAGATGTGTGAATAAGAAATTGTACTAAAGCGTTGCAAAAGTTCAACTATTTGAAATGATGCAATAAATACTAGGATATCTGCCTCACATGAGTGTAACAGAACATAGCACAAGAAAGCCACAAATTCCAGATGAAAACTTGTGATATTTAAGGTGGCAAAACCTGAATGTAACTCCCTTCAAAGTTGACAGAAGTTAGATGAAAAGAATTGTTGAAGACAAGTCAATCTTAAAAACTCCAGGGTTGTATGGTGTGGTTGGTGGGGTTTCTGTGCGCATATTTGGGGTTTTTTGGTTTTGTTGTTTGTTTTACTCAATGCAAAATTTTGCTCCCTTTCATAAAGAATACAGAATCTGTTTTTCAGTTGTGTAGCCTTCACATGAGCTCAGAGCCATCCTTGAAAAGGAACGTGGAACCTCATGTTGTCTCTTACAACATTCCACAATCACAAACAAGTAGGAAAGTAAAAATTTTCAATATATGACAGATGACTTCAGAAGTCACACTTTTCCTTAAATCTTTTGAGAAAATAATTTGCTGAGTGACAGTGACCAAGTTGATAGGAACTACTGAAAGTCTTCCAAAATTACTGTTGCTTAAGTACTTTAGCAGTCTCTGATAGTAGAGGTTGCTAAGTCATTTCTGCCTCATGTAGATCCTAAATTTCATGCTTGTTGCTGGCATAAATATGGCTTAAGAATGCATTAGTACAGAGGACATCATTAAGCTGATGGAAGATACCACAATGAACAGTTCTCCCTAGAGATTTCTTAAGGTCCTAAATAAGCAATTCACCAGAGATAATGCCTCAGAGCATGAAATTACTTGAAAAGAAGTCCTTCTTAGTAACTTAGTTAACAATGAGAACTACCCTGCATGTTACAGGCTGTTAAGAAACAGCAAAATTTGTCAAAAATCAAATATTTGGTAAAAACTGGAATGATACTGAACTGGTACCCTTTGGAACTCATACTGTTTTCTTTCTTAACGTTACAAGGGCTGTGCAACGCCTGTGTGTGCATGTGTATTTACAAGCATCATGATTTTGAAACTGTGTGCATATATGAGAGAAATAAAGGACTCCAAGACATGACAATCCTACAAGCTTTGACAAAGTCACCTCCTCAAAACCTTCACCATAGGAAGAACAAGTCCATGTCACTGCATAGAGGAGCTAATTCTCAAAATACAGTTCTGTAAAACATTAGAAAATTGGATTACAACTACATGTTTTCATTTGCTTCCGCTATGATCTCCTACCAGGTGAAAATTGTGAAAATACAGAATGCCACTCCAGCAGAAAACATGTTTATCAGCCGCCTTACTGTTGGACAGCCCTCACAGCTTAACTGCTTCATTTACAAGCAATACTAGTCCACTTGGTATGAATTTCTGCAGTGTCTAAAGAGACATGACAACATGAAAAGCCAGCCAGCCAAAGTCTGGGAAGGTATTTAAAGTATGGTGAAATCATTCAAAAGTTGAAGACTATCCAAATAGGAAAGAGAGAATCAGCCTGACAAATTAAATGTAAAGTTCAACTGTTAAAGGAACATACTGCAAAAAACCCACAAACAAAAAGAAAACAATAAAATACTTCTCAAAAAATCATCAGTAACAAGGTTTCTAGAGAGTCTACAGAGACTACAGATGATCAAAGAACCCTTCAAAATCTCACGTTCAGAGAGAACTTTTTCATTCACTATTAATATGAAAATTTTTTTATATGCTTCATGACAGAATTTTTTTCAGGGGTGAGGGTGCTGGGGATGGGACATAGGCAGGAGGGTGACAAGAGACGGCATGACACATTTGTAGCTAATAAATGAAACAACAGACAAATCAATATAATGAAAGAAATTACTGGGACTGATATTTATAAAGAAATCTAAAAGCCTCTAAGATGAAACAGCAGAACTACTTGAGAATAACCTCAAACTTTAAACTAGCCACTTAATCTATTCAAGATTTCAAAAAGACATTTGACAAGGTCCCTTAAACCCATAAAGAAAGTAAGGAATAGAGTCCTCCTGGAGAAATTACCTGTTCACTTGTGACATAAAAAGAGAGAACAGAAAAAAATGTTTTAACTTTATAGTGAAAAAAGATCAGCAGTGAAGTCTTACAGGGATATCTGTTGGGGGCTCTTCTGTTCAATATATTCACTACTGATCTAGAGAAGAGAGTGAATAAAGTTTTCTGAAGATATCAGTCACACAGGATGGCAAAAATAAAAGCCAACTGTAAAGAAATGCAGAAGGACATTACAACATCAAGTGACTAGACAATAAACTGGCAGGTTTGATGAAGTTAGGGTCCAGCTGGTGCATATGGGAAGGAACAATCCCAACTTCATATAGCAAAATGTCAGGCTCTGGGTATTGCTTTTGGGGAACTAGATCTTAGATACCACTATGAAACTACGAGCTCCATGACTAGCAGAACCCAACGAGGCAAATAAAAGATTAGAAGTGTCACAAAAATGGTATCTTGAATACTTGAATGGGACAAAGTTTTTCATCTTGATGTCAGTAATAAGTGGTTGCTTTAACACCTCCAGAAATTGCCCTGACATATTAAACAGAGTGTGTATATGGCACTAGGGGGTAAACAGTTCAAAACAAATCTGTTCTGCAAATTCTTTTATTAATCATTAGCTACATGACATTTTTACTTTCTAGTGTTTTTATACCTCAAACTGAAACAGCGAGTTGAAACAATACCAGTAAAACATACTTATATTCAAATAACTTTTTAGAATATCGTAAGAAAAATTCTATCATAATGACACCAAGTTGCAGAAACTGAAACCACAGCTATAAAGCTTGTCAAATGGTTCACATACAGACTGGGACACAGCTGTGGGCAGAACTGAACTCTGCCACTCCAACTTGAGCTATCACTGACACAAATCCTCCCGCGTTCCCATTACAAAGCAAAACATGGTTTCACACAATACTTACTTGGCTGGATTTCTAGAACCCATTGTCCAGTAATGTGACAATATCTTTTTTTCATGAGGTAGTGACGACTTTGCCTGAAAAAACGTGTGATGCTCTACACAAGATTTCCATAGATTTTTGCATGCTCTGTAATTTAACATGTTGAAGGCAACAATATGCTCTCTGGATTCATTCTGTAACAGTAGGAAATACTGTGTTTCAATATATACAAGCAGATCAAACACAGTAAGCAACCTCATAAAACAACATCACTTTTAGCATAAATAGGAAAAATGCATTTAAGAAAACAAAAAAATCAGCGTATAGTAGATTTTGAGCTGGAAATGGCCAAAATAGCTCTGTGACTATATGAAATTCTAAACTGCAAAATAGACACTTTAATAATTTTTCAGTATTGTTTAAACTTTTCAGTCTTTCAGTTCATAGTATTTTAGAGTGTTAATGAAATGTTTACAACTAGAGTGGTAAAGATTTTTTTATATATGAGTATAATGATAAACAGCTAAATTTAGTTTCAGGTTTCCAGTCAGATCTTCACCTCCTATGACAAACAAAACTTTTGAACATTCCACTAAGGATGCAATGTAGAAAGAAACAAAACCCCCAATTTGTGAATTCAAACTCTTCACATAAGGCTTCAATTCAACAGGGTTTTTTCAAGAGGCATAGTATGCAAAAAGCATCTGCTTGATAGTCTTTTAGAACACACTGAAGGTGTTAACAGTAATCCATCTTGGATGAAAGAAAGGAGCTGTGATGGGCCGGAGCTGCTGCTACTGCTGTTCAAATCCAGTCCTGCTTTCTGGATGATAACATGAGGTCACAATGAGGAGACCAAAAGAAAGCAGAATACAAACCTTGTATGTCTTGGTGCAAACTCTTACTTGTAAATTCAGTGCCAAAGTGTTAGTGAAACACAGGTGTAACACCCAACAATTGTGCCACCCATGTTTATGCCCTCACCAACTGTAGCACTTGAGCTGGTTCACATCCCAAGAGAGTTTTGCACAAGATATAGCTTTGCTTAGTTAATATAGTTATTCATGCAAAGAAAGTGGAATGAAGAATAAAGCAAAGAGGAGAAAGGAAGATAACATGAGACCTGAGTTAAGTGCTACCACAGCTCAGCACTTCAGTGAAAAAAAGGCAAGTTTTCAATTTCATCTCATGTTTTCCAGCTGCTCTGAATTATGACTGAATTTTGACACCTCAGCATACAATTAGGCAGGCAACCATCTGGGTAAATCTCTCTTTCTAGCTCATAGTTTGGAGAAAGACAGGATTTGGGTTGCAAAGACTTTTTATTAAAGGATTCAGAAAGACCTAATAAAAACTCTTTCTCATACACTCCAGCAAGAAATAGAGGTCCCACCTGGATAAAACCTTGATTTCTAGTGGCCATTGTCCTTTTGTTTGTTCCCAGCAATGAACCTGCTGGGAAGTAGCTACTGACCATTTTGGCTGGAATAATCAACCTGTTTGTCAGTTCACCACAGCTGCTTCTAATTAGCTTATATAAAATAAAGTGTGCAAGCATAGTGAAATTTTAACTCAGAATTTCTTGCAATATCAAAAGCATATATCACTTAAAGATTTAAAGACAAATGGCATTTCTTACATACCCTCTATTGGGTGAATACTATTTAAAGCATTTTACACTACTCCAGAATACAAATAAAAGGAAGTATATAGTTATTTTTGTCATCTTAGAGTACTAGTCTTTCAGCTGCCATAAAAATTAGATTATCCAAACATCTTAATTATACTGAAAAGCCATCATGTAAAGCTAAGGAATTAAGTACATCTAGTATTCTCCTTTTAAACCTATGTTTGAAAAAACTAATAAGTCTTGCTAAGGCACAAGTATGTTCTTCCCAACTGTTGTCACAGAACCTTCTTAACAGCTTCTAAGTGGGCTAAAAGTTTAAATATGGACTTATACTAGGATAAATACTTTCAGAAGTTTCAGAAAAACATAGTCAATTTTTAAATTAACAAAATCTTTTGTTAACAAAACCATATGGCTCACTAATAGGCCACCTTGCAAATCAATGCACCATTTTAAAGACAAAGAGTGTTCTAGCAGGATCCAAGGATCTAGTGCCTATCACAATTCTCAAGTTCCAAAAGAATGGTATTTTAATAGTTATCAAGAAATGAGGATCAGAGAAATTTGTGACCATTAAGGTAAAGGGAACATTTCTCAATAGCTACAGTGAGTCTCTTGCTATTTTAGCATTGGAGAAGAAATTTGATCAGATAGATACCTATTCCATCCACAGAGAATTTGAAAGTATCTACAGCAGAGCAAGTAAAAACGTATTTAAATACACAGAAAATGAAGCTGGTTTTAAGCACTAGATAAGCACACTGGACATAAAGTTTCATTGCCGGAAGCTTTAAAATGTTGCCTATAAACCACCATAGTTCCTATTCCTGCCTTAAATCTTGCACCCTTCATTAAGTCTACATATCATAAGCTGTTATAGCATCAGACATTCACTGATTCATCAGTCTTGCTCCTCAGTCCTTACGTAGCTCTTCAGTAGAAAGAGAAATACTGCGTACTTCTACCAAGTAGCTGATCAAACAGCTGAAGCAGTGAGAGGGTAAAAGAGGAAGTGAGTCGCAGGGAGACAGTGACATAAGTCTTCAGGACAGGGGTATAAGGAAAGAAAAAAGGAGTAAGAGAAATAAGGAGAATAAATCAATGAAACATGGCATATCCCAGATGACTGCAAATTCATAGCCTTTGAGAACTTTCTGTAGATTTTTGCAAATAAATCTACATATGACATACAAAACCCTGAAATGTTACAGCACCGTCACCATCTTTAGTAAAATCTTGCCTATTAATATGTAGTATCTGCTCTGCTTTCCCCACCTTCTTCTACCTTCCTTACTTGCAGCCTCATTTACCTAGTCCCTCCTGCACTTCCAAGCAAAGATCTGATAAATCCAAAGACTGACGTGACCTCAGTCATCTGCCCTCACGAAGGCCTCAAAGCGAGCCACCATTCTGGAGAAACCCCCTCGTAGTCCAGCCGCCCCCTCACTCCCATCACACTGTGACAGCCAGCTTTTCAAAGCAGTAACACTGGAATACTGCAGGCATGCAGACTTGCTGCCCTAAATTTCAGGCACAGGGGGCTAACTGACAAGGACAGAAATACCTGGAGATTTAATAGCACACCCGGTCTAATTTTTCATATCTACTGAGAAAGAGTAAGAAGGTCATGTGGCTGGCCTTATTTTTCCTACAGATCTGTAGGTCTCTCAGCATGATACGTTCATATAGTGAAATACATTTGAACAGACTGAGGCAAGTTTACATATAAACAATATATTTAGAAACTTACAGCTTACAGAAAACTTAAGACCCTTTTATGGTGGGTTAGGATACTCTCTCTCAAAAGAGAAGACAGTTTCATTTAGTGCATGCTATGTGTGTAAGCATTAGTGCAGTAACGCTATCTCTAGATACTAACTTTGCTTACACAAGAGCCCTGAAAATTAAGAATATGTACATACATGTACATTCATCAGATTTGGGAGCTACACACCAAACAGGGAGGTACGGGGAAGAAAAGATGAAAATACTGTCCTCTTGGGTAAAACAAGCCTCCCTAGCAATCTGTGTTCAGCAGACCCTCACACCAATGAAGGTCAAGAGGTCTTCTTGTAACACAGCTCCTAGCAGTTTAAGAACTCATTTACTACAAGAGCCTTCATAAAGCTTCAGTGTAAGTTAACACTTACCTTTTACTATCTAAGTTTTGTCCTCAATGGAATTATCTATATATCGACTGGTCACTAATTTCCGTATTTTTTCCTGTCATATTAAATATTCTCTTCCCTTCCTCAAAAGATAGCTTAACTTATTTGTTCGTATTGTGGCAGTACAATACACTAATCCAGATTTTTTTTTCTGTTACATAGCTTAATATGAACAACCATTCTGCAAAAAGCACACCGCATTATGAAGACTACTCTGCCATTTTCTATTGTACATCAGCTTTGTCAACTCTCTTCATATATTTTGCCAGTTTCTAAAGAGCTCCATGTTACACACAGCAGGAGATGCACTATTCCCTTTTCCAATCTCATGTCTTCAGCTGCAGACCTGTCCTTTTCAAGTTAACACAACAGAGCCTTTTGTTGACTTAACATTTAACACCAAAAACATCTGAACATGACCACTTGAGCAAAACAAAATGAAATGACTACTTACATGTTTTTGCCGTTGTTGTATAAAAAACTTTTTCCTTTTAAAGGATATTTTTAATATGTTCACCCTAAAAGAAAGAAACAGACTATGAAATACTAAACAATGTTTAGAAGGAAAAAAAGCAATGAAAATTAATACTGTGTACAGCAAGCCTAAAATATTATAGCTGTTAAATATTCATTATGTATAATATGATGTAGTATGCAACCATCTCCCGTGTTGGGTGGCAAATAGGTGTAAGAAACCCAAAGTAAAAATTTTAGCTAAGAAAAGGTCATTTAAAAATTGAGATTCTTCCTCATTTACTCTTTAAATAGCTCACATAGCAATTCTCTCCCACCAAATCTATTCTTGCAGCAAAAACTTGATGACATCCTTTACTAAGCCGCACAAATGTTATATGTGTCAGGTTTGTATAACTTAAGAATCACACGACAATCGTGACTAAAGGAACAAAATTTAAGACCCTAATGACACAACTAAGTTGGTTATACAACACCTGAAATTTCCCAGAGACTTCACAGAATCTGCTTCACAATGTGAAAAATAGCATGTACTTGTATACTAACTAAACAAAGACTGTAGTTAAAGTCATAACTGTAGAAGGATGAAAACTGTAAAAATGAGTGTTAATATATTTTTCACTTCAGTTATTAACATTGCTGCATAATTTATGTGGTAATTTTATATAGAACTGAATACCTCCTATATATACACAGTAGACGAATAAAGATATTCTAAGGTAAGGATTACAGTTGGAATTGGTGCTCAAGCAATTTTCATTTTAATTATATGCTTATCAGCTTTGCTAAATTAAACAAACTTCTAGGTACCCACGCACCTTCCTACAGCAAAACAAGACTGGTCTAAAATACCTACATTTTCTCTACAGTACTTCTACATCAATAACTGAAAACTACACATTTTGTAAAAAGGAATCTGTGATCAGCTAGAATCATATGGATGCCTTGGGAAAGCTATTTAAGGTCTGATCAAGTCACATCTGCCTGAAAAAAACCATCTACACACCATAAAAGTCTCAGATTATTCTCATCAACTGATGTTTCACAGCACCTCAGATCTCATCAGGTATGAGCTATATTGAAGGTCATCGCAGTTCTTACCACAGTTTTTGCATCACTCCCAGGAAGCAGGGCAACGGCATGTCACTCATTCCTCACTGCCCATGAGAGGGATGCACTTTAATTATAGAGCAATGTTCCTTATTCATACAGGATTTGTATATTTGCCCGCTACAAATAAGAAAGGCAGTGGAAGAAACAACCCCTCCTTCTGCATAGAAGAGGTGTAAAACTGAACATGTGCCCATTTCTGAAAATGCTTTTCTCCGTCACTTACAGAACCACAAATAAACAGGAATTTCATTCACAACATTCTTTGGCGACCAGGTAAACTGTTGTGCAGGTTACTAGAAAGTTTAAATCATATCCACCTCTCCTGTCAGGCCAATTCTTGAAATACTTGTGCCACTGGACTTGCTACCTCACATGGTAATTACCTGTACTGCTCATCTAAAAATTCTGGATTCTGAACTTCCCAATAAGTCATATAAACTTTCAGTTGCATTTACTGAGGTGCAACTCATTTACATATAAAACCTTTCTTAAACCTAGTGCCTGTACTAGTACCACAAGTTTTGTGCTTCTGGTTCTTTCTTAACACATTTCTTGACTTAAAGTTCAACAGTTTTTCAGTCATTCTCAGCTTACACAGTTGCTGTCATGATCTACCCTAATGTACAGCCAGCAGAAATGCAGGACACAGAAAACTAACTTTTGCAGACTAAGCAAAAACCCCTCCACCCAACAACAAAAAGGTAGCCAGCATCCCAAAATACCCAAACTCTCTCAATCCCTTCCCGCCCCCCCCCCTTTTTTTTTGTTTTGTTTTTCTAAAACATGATTCACTGCATGACCACATAACCATACAAGTCAAATCAGGGCCTTGTCTCTTTTATTTTGACTGTCCTCTAAGCAGAGCATCCCTCTCAATTTCATTCATTCTTCTTAAAGTACAACTAAACCTGTTTAATTCAGTGACAAAGAACACTTGCTAATCTGACAGTTTTATTTAACATTAACTAAAAATCATTCGCAATGTTATGCCTACAAGTTGAGTGAATGTTCGCATATAGCACAATCCACAAAAAAATCCAAGAGATTAAGGTATCAAAGGATTTAGATTTAACAAGTGCTTGAAGATGCCACATCCAGAACATGATCTGAATAGAATGCAGTTATTCTAACTGGTGGCTCACCTTTCCTTATCACTCACCCATAACCTGTCCAGTTACTATGCAACATTCACAAATGATTAGATTTCATGGCTTCCTTTTAAAACACTCAATACTTGTAGCATATTAATAATGATACCTCTTTTATGTCCTGTCTTCCTATCATTCGCAAGGATCAAAATAGGTTTGTCACTTAGTGGGCAACAGAATTATTCATTTCTGATCAAATTGGCAGTTCTGTCCTAGCACTTAGTACTAATAGCTGGTATTTTTGACTTGAAGCAAAAATGTTTTTATAGCTGAAAGTCTTAT